AGTCTTATGATAAAACTCGGAAGTTTCTTCTTCACATGGAACCTGCAAAAACTTAACGAATTTGGCACGAGGTGCCGTTAGTGAAGATAGCCTTTGAGGTGAGGCTTCCACATCTGGGCTCATAGCTCCATGTTGAACCTTCTTCTCATTAACTTGCATATTTAAGCTAGGAAATCCACAGCTTAAGAACTCATCTCTGGTGGCAACAACATCCTTCTTCTCTAAATCGCCATTGGGTTTGTTTTCACCTAAACTTAGATGAACCCGGGGTTCTATCCCTTGGTTAGGTGCGGTCAGGGGTAGGAATAAGCATGCCAGTGAACCTTTTCTCAATGAATGCATATCCACAAAATTAGGTGTCCATGTCCTGTCAATATGAAATAAAGAAAAACTACGCAATTCCACTCGTAGTTCTCTTCCGTGGTTGAGCCATTCAATGGAACAGGATTTCAAGAGGGGTTTGATTCCAAGTTTATTTTGATCAGTCAAACTACTCAATGGTCTTATAATGACCACAAGTTCACCTTTACCTTGGCCTAGAGATTTAACATCATCTTGTCCTTCCTTTCGTCCCAAAAGCTCTGATTTCTCTTCACTTTGGACCAAGGACTTCGGGTTTTTACTTGGACACTCAAAAGCATGATGACCAATCTTTTGTGAGTGGAAGCAATGGGGTTTCTTTGGGACAGTGGAGCTGGATTTTTCTGGGATTGTGACCATGTCATTTTGAGAGGAGGTTATGGTTTTGGGAGGACTTTGAACTGTGAGGATGGGGGAGGCTTTTAGAGTGCTTTGGACAGTGTTTTTGCAGGGTAAAGGAATGGGTTTAGATGAATCTTCAAGTGGGTGTGTAGGGGTAGGTGTGGGACTGGTTAGGACTGTTTGTGGAGGAGTTATAGGCATGGTTGTAGGAGAGTTTAGAGGCTGGGTCATGGAGGGGGTGTTGGGATTTGTTTGGGTAGCAGCTTGGGATGAAATGTAGATGGGGTTTGAAGGGTTTTGGGTCAGAGGTGTGGAGACGGCGCTGGGTTGAATAGGGGCAGTGACTAAGGAAGGTAATGGGGTAGCTTGAGTTGGATTTTTGCGTAGACGATAAGGAGTTGGGTGAGAGATATTCTGGACGCCAGGGGTGCTAGATGAAGGGGGGAATTTAGAGGTGATTAAGGTTGGGGGAGAGAGGGTGGTATGGGGTGGCTTTCGTTGTGGAGAAGGTGGTATGACTTGAGAAAGAGTTTTAGGTGAAAAAGGGAGAGTAGTTTTAGGTACCTGGTGTATATGATCATTGGAACAAAATCTCTTAACTAAGAGTTTTCTGAACTTTTCCCAAGTTCTCACCTTAGCCTTGCCTTGGAGCTTTCGTTTTGAAGCAACGCTAGCCCACCAAGTAGAGGCATGTCTTTGAAACTTTGCCACCACTAGCTTGACCTTCTTGTCTTCGGGTACGTCTTTGAGTGTAAAGACGTCTTCAACTTTTGCTAACCACTTTGAGAACTTCTCCGGGTCATTTCTTCCTTCAAACGTGGGAATCTCCACTGAATTAGTGAACTCCTTGACTTGTTTCATCATAAGCTCAACTTCCTTCTTTAACTTTTCTTGGGCAGCAACTACATCATATTGAGACATATCTTGGATGATGTGAGAAATGTTTCAAAAGAGAGAATGTAGGAGATGGTGTTTTGGCCCCTTGAGGGATGTGGAACAACAAGCTTTGATACCAAATGTTATACCCGAACCGGGGGTCTAAACGAGTTGATATTTTGAGGAGAACTCAAGGAATGATTCAGCTTTGAGTTCAGGGTTCTGGAGCAGGAGATAATCGATTTACACAAAGTGACAATCGATTACTGAAAGCTGCAGAATTTCTGGGGAAGCTGATAGTCGATTATCTTAAAGGGATAATCGATTATTGAGCCCTGCAGGTGTTTCCAATGGGATTGATAATCGATTGTGGGGAATGATAATCGATTATTTGGCAGAATTCTGGGCAGGAAGAAGGGTGTTTTTGTGGGGGAATGGCCCGGAAATATATGGAGTTGATGAGGGAGTTCTTTTGGGTATTTTAATTGGAAGAAAAGAGTGAAATTAAGAGGAGAAATGGGGGGATATGAAATGGAAGAAAATCAGGGATGGATAAACCAAGTTGGTGTTTAAGAGATATTACACACTCTTATCCTAACTTGGGGTTTGAATCTAGAATTTAATTAAGATATGACACACTTAATCAAATATCTAGAACCTAAAACTCACACTTAAGATAACCACTCTTAAGATATAGAATTAGG